TACCTCTTGATGTATTACGTAATAAACATAAGGCTACAATCAAAATTAGTGTCAGAGAGTCGCGATGCTTTAAAAATAGCCGGTGCCAAGTTAATTATAGAAATTGCAATACAACGACATTTTTCTGCATTGCACAGGAATGCATTCATGCACCTTTGCAGAGTTTATAATAAGCATTACGTACACAAGCAAGGTTAAAATATGAACACCTGAACCACTTTAAATATTCTGTAGAACGTATTTTTAACTTAAAAAAATATTTTTACTGTATTAAAATTTAATACATGTACCACGTGGAGAATATGAAAATTAAATATCGTTCTATATTTCTCTTCCATTTCAACTTGGACTCCAATTTCTTGTCTATTGAATGCCCCCCTTTCCCTTCCACCTGTGATATTAACTAAAGGTTATATTAGGGGTCGATAATTTTACGGCCAGTTTCTCATTTCAGATAGAGTCAAGGTATTTTGTACCGCCCTTTTCATGGAACGATTAAGATACAAAAACAGTATATGTTTTTTTTCTGGATATCGGATTACTCTATAAATGAAAATACAATACCATGTTTGTTATTCTATCTTAAGCTTGATTAGATACAACCAAAAATTCGCGGGGTCGACGTCCAGATTTCTGTACCTTGGCTGTCTGAAGGCCGAAAGATTAGAAATATGTTTTAAATATCGCGCTAAATACGTTTCTGACAGATCAAAGGAATTTCAACATGTTCAACAAATTAATAGGTTTAGAACCATGCTTCCCTTTCTTGGCAAAGAATTCATAATCAAAATATTCTGCAGAAATAGATTTAAATAGCTTTAATTATTTGTTACTTAAAACACGCCCACTTTTTTGTCTTATATATACCTAGTATGACTGTATCCTTACTAGAATCTTTAAGGCTATTTGTCCACTCTGTGATGGTTCTCGCTGTGAGCGAGAAGTCTTCGTTTGAAATCTCGCGCCTCATTGAGTAGAGTGAATAGAATTTGTCCTATATTTGCCCTCCGGAAGCGCGAGTCTCCTCAGTTTTACACCGAGAGTGTATCAGTGTTGTATATAGTTACCTGCCGTATGGATGTGGGATATATAATGTGGGATTCTGTTTGACATTTATAGCGCGAAAACTGACAACAATGGCGGTGAGTTAATATATTTTTATGATTAATTTCTCTTTTTATCGGTTGTGATACTTTTATTTATTTCTATTTCAAATGTTGTGCAATCAAATTGTTGCATTCTTATCTTAACGTATGAACGCGAGGGCCTTAAAAGTTTTCCTAAGGATCCCTTTTCACTGGGGATTAACGGTGTTTTAAAGACTGTTTGAGGATTATGTTTAAAGACATACCGGGTTCATATTTTGGTCATTCTGTCATCATAGCAAAGAAGCAAATCCTCGCTTTATTTGATTTAACAACAAAAATGTTTTAATTTTAATGGCAAAATGTCGTATGAATAGCACACTAGATAAGCAACTTTAATATTTTTGTTAAATATTTTAACAAATATTGTAAAACATAACAAGAGTGTGTACATGGATAAAACAATTGATATTATAATATGTACTCGTACAATGTAAACAAATGTCAAATATGATGTTTGTTTTGGCGGAAATGGTAGCAGCTTAACGTGTGTAGCTAAATTGTTTATTTTAAAATTAGAGTAATATATTAATTAAATTGTACTATCAGTTGGAATTGTAGATAAAGTTCAATTAGCTAGGTATCTAAATATTCTTATCAGATAGCGCGTTCATTATTTATTGACTCGTCAACTACTTTAAAAGATAAATAGTCCTTGTGATGGAGGAAAAGATACTGACTATAAAATTTGATTAAATGCTCTACTGAAACAGGACAACCAAAGAAAACAAAATAATTAATGAAGTATATAGACGTTCTCTATTCTGGCTCAGATGCGAAAACCAAAAATCTGAAAAATTCTCTATATGCGTTACCCGATCCTACAATAAGGGTAGAAAAATTTTAAAGAAACCGCCCAGTTAGAAGAAAAGAGGCGATGTTCCTGATGGATTCTGACTTCAAATTGTAATGTTATACCTTTATAATTGTTCTGCTCGGTCACAAAGGCCCCAGGCCACAATAAAGATTTATATAAAAACGAGATGTATGGTTATTAAACTTTTCATTCGTGTGTAACCTTTTGAAGCTAGGTACCCTTTCCTCAATATAGTTGTACATTTTGAAAAAAAAGAGAATCCTTTTTATTGTCAACTAACTATAAAATTACAAATTGGGGTTTAAGATACCGTATCATTTAAGCTTTTTACAAAAGATTAAAACATCTAAGGGTGAAAGGTGATCATATTTAATTTTGTCAGAGCCTTTTGACTTCTCATAAACGAAATGTCATATCTAACTTAATTTCTACAAAGTCATATATTCCACTACTTTTGCACACTTTATTCTTTTTTCATTAAAAAACATAAATTCACACTTGGGTTAAACCCATTCAGAATGAATAATTCCATACGAAAGATGACACATATATATTTCAAATACATTAGTTTTCTTTATTGTCAATACAAATATCCTGAATTCCAGTTTTAATGTATATAGTTATTTTACTACTCTGTTATCTATCAAATGACATATATTTAATCACACGTATATATATTAATGCGATTTTCCAATGCAGAGGGAATTATCATTTTGCGGTTCTCTCCACTTGACCTTTACTCTGACCTTTTTCCGGAACTGTGGTTTTGCTATGGATCCGCCGAACTGTCAGTTTAATCAGGAGCATGTGTTATGTCACAAGATAACGCATATCCTCGCGAGATGAAAACGACATATCGATCATTTAATAATCTGCAGCATTCTCCTTAAAGACTACAATCAATTTCCTTTTGTTCGTCGTTTTGTTAAATTAATTCTTTGCAAATACTCACATTTCAACATGACTCGGTACAAGGTAAATTCAAAGTCGTCGTGTGATAATGATATGTCTTGGAATGTCAAAAAATGTGTCATTCGGTGACTTTGACGAAGAGAACTATGATAAATTGTTTTATACCGTATTTAAGGTTGTCAAGAATAGTAAGTAGCACGGAGCACCTTAAGTACTTCGACCTAGAAATTATTATAAAGAGAGTTATGCAAATGAGCTTTGTTTCATTTCACATCCGCATCTAAAAATATAAACAGCTGTTGATTAATAACAGTATTCAAACAAGCTTAATTAATGCCATGATTTATTTGACCCTTATTGTAATATCCTTTATAAAGAATAGAATTTCATTAGATTAAGACTTTCGTCGTTCATAACAATTTCCTGTGAACGTGTCAGATGTGCAGTATTGCCCATCTATACGTGTGAGAACCGTCTTAACTATGTCACGATTGAGAACAGATTTCAGCTAACTTCTGCTACTGTTTCCGTCCTCTAGAAATGCCAGTCAGTTATAAGAGTGGCATCCGAAGGACTTAATACTTAGAATATAATATTTCCTTGTAGTATTCATACTTTGTTGAAGTGAACTTGAAATTTTCTTGTTATAAATATTTTTTAATGTTCCTTTATATGAAAAAATAAATTAGCTGCAAAGTTTTGCGCAGCTGCTTACCACAGCATTTTTTCTGTTTCATTAATTTATATGCTCTTCCTGTATATGGTATTTATTGTCCGTCTATAACCAAGTTTTTTTTTCAAAGAAACTTTTCAAGATGTACATGTATTTATCGAATTCATACATGGTTTTTCATAATCATGGTCTTGACTTCGCTATTTTGCATCTTGCATTTATACCCCCTTTTCAAAGAAAGTTTTGACAGTTTTACAGTTGATATAGTTATAGTTTTTCTTTTTTGAGTTTTGGTCATCTCTTTTACTTTTATTGTATCTTAAATTATAAAACTGTATATAAAGTTATTAATTTCAATTGGTAAAATTCAACTGCGGCATCATTTTCTATCCTTGACCTTCTCAATGGCCTTAACCTCACTATTCCTAATCAGAAACTAGTCAATTTATTCTTCAAACTCCATAGACTGATACCAGTTTGTACAGTGTGGATATTAAACGATTCAATCGTGTCATAATTTCTGACCTTGCTATCCTGACCTCTAGTTTTTCCCCATATTGCTTTCAGTTTATCTTTTTGAGTTCATAAACTTAAGGGTACACAATGTGTAAGATAAATTAAGATAAAACTACATACATATGTGAAAATTAAGAAAACTATGTTTTCTTTCATTATTATATATATTAAAATGCTTTATCTCACATAAGAAAAATAAGGTACCTTTTTTTAAAGATGCAATTTCATGGAGATTATTTGGTTGTGCGCATGCGTTGATGATCTCAGTTTTGGACATTTCTAGCTTGATATCCAACGAGTATAACATTCTAGAATTAAAATAGGAAGAAAGCGAAAACCAAACAAAGAGTTTTGTGTTGACGTGCATTAAGTTAAACGTAAATGAATTTCTTCCCACATGTTACAAATTGCTTTACAACAATAAGAAAATAACTTTATAAATGCCATTCAGTTTTAAAGCAGAATCGATCCATCAGTAACATTACGTTGACAAATTTAGTTTCACTGATGAGTAATACGTGGGAGGTCGTCCCCAGGGGGACAAGAATAATGCCACTACTTAAAATAAAGGAAATTATCACTAAACATTTGAAACCTTTCTTACAAGTACAAAAGTGGCTGGAGTCATTAGCGAAACTCGTAAGAGTCAAACGCCCCGTGACGATAACTATTTCCTTATCTTTGTTCGTTAAAAAGTATATATTAAGAGGCAGACTGAAAAGTTTTTCTTTCATATATATTCTATATAGTATACACCGTCAATTTTCTTTCTTTAATCTGAATCAAGACGTAGAAGGATTTTTAAAAAAAATTTTTTTTACTGAAAACAGTTTTATTATTTCCTCGGATATTTCTAACAGGTAACTCCAAAACATAGGCATTAATACCATAATTGTATTTTTTTTCTTAAAAATAACTTATTTTTTTTTATTTTCAGCTCAACCCCCCGCGGATAGACAGACGGGAGGGGGATGTCGGGGACGTGGACGAGTTACTTCCCCTGACGGAATCGGACTTCGAGGTTATGTCGGATTCAGATTCGCCTTCCAATGGAGTTGTGAATGGAGTTCATTTGAATGGAAATATGTCGGTAAAACCTAAACCCATGAACATGAAAGAGGACAGAGAAATTCGGTGTGGTTTCGGATCTTATTCTCCGAACTGTCTTCAAAAGTTCAACAATCCTAAAGCTTTATTGTTTTTCCTTTGCTGCTTTTGTACTTTACAAGGTAGGAACCTCAAATCCCTCTGTAGTACAAAAAAATTACTTGTAAAATAAATGTCCCTTTGGACACTACCTGCAGATGTTCCCATATAAATATGACCAATAATGGCCTCACTGTTCTTAAGAAGGTTTTTAAGTAATTCCACCCTCCTGTGATGTCATAGGTTTTTGAAAAAACTGTTATTAGTCTAAATTCTTCTTTACAATAGGTGTAATGATAAATATTGTTAAGTTAAATTTCATATTTTCTATATTTAATCTTTCAATCTTTAAAAAATGTTGTAACGTGGGCTTTAAAAATGTTACCCTGATATTCACAATTCAAAAGTATCTTTCAAGTAGGAAGTATTTAGGAACACTCAGCATCAGAATTATGCATTTTAACCAGTTTTTACATATTTTCATAATACTGTTTACAAAAAATGTGCGGTTTTTTTATGTTGACATACACTTCTGTTTATTAATGTTTTGCATATTAAATAATATGGTGACCTATACATTTTTTGCAATAATTGGAAAGTTTAAAGTATATTAAATGAAAATAAATGCAGTTTTTGTACTTTGAACCTATAAAATTGTGAGGGTGGAACCACCTATCTATATATTCCTATGTTAAACTTTGATCGTCTACTTTGGACGAATGTGCGAATGTTAACGTTAAATCGAGGGCCCTTAGATTGTTTTAATCCACTGACACCAGGGGATATATTTTTTTTATATATCTCCCTGTTTGTCAGTCAGATTAAAGGGATATGAAGGCCTGTGTAGTTCTTTTCTAAAACGAAGCGGCTCAGCGATGCCCCTTGTAGAACGCGTGGGTGACATGCTGAATGTCTAGAGAGTGAATCCAAATGATTTATAATACACTGCATCATAGAGTAGCTGTCATTATCTCCTTTGAAGATGATTAATGAGATCTTAATTTGAAGTAGTTCTAGAAAGCAATACTTCCTTCATTATTTATTATTTAGTATATATGTATGTACAGCATTTTCCGGTTATAGCATATTATTTTTAGGTCACCTGAGTCGCTCAGGTTATCTAAATTCTTTTGCGATCTGTTTTCGCTTTTTCTCGTCCGTCGAGTGTTAACATTTGAACATTTTTAGCTTTCCCTCAGGAACCACTCATCCAATATCAACCAATTTTGGCATAAAGCATCAATGAGTGAACGAACAAAAGCAAAAAAAATATGAATTTCATGATTTTTGCCCTCCTGAGACCCGAGGGGTTGGGCTAAAATTAAAATCAATGAAAACTTTAAAAATCGTCTTCTTTACTCCCGGACACCAAGAAGTCACTGTTTGCATGGTTGTAAGAAGCATTGAAACTTACTAAAATTGTGTAATTTTTGACTAAAGAGTATGGGCTCTGATGAAAAGGGCGCTCTGTTGAATATATATAGTAAAATTGCATTTCATCGTAAAAAGGGGAAGCAAACAGACTAAGTGCATAGTTATGATGAGCAAGGGTGTCTTTTCCAAAATTGTGAATATCCTTGTCCCAGGGTCAGGATTTCTGGTGTTAGGGTGGGGTTCTTTAAATTTTACACCTAAAATAAACCATTGTTTTTGAAATCCCCTCCTTTGCTCATTGGTATGAGAGAAATATATTAAATGCAAAGGGTGCCTTCTTCCAAAATGTGAACCTGTTGCGCTAGAGTCAGAGGTTCTTTTATAATGGAAATGCATAATTTCTTTGATTAGCATCTGTAATCAAACTAAGTGCATAGTTTTGATAAGCAAGGGTTTTTCTTTCAAAATTGTAGATTTCATGGCCCCTGGTTTAAAATTGAGAAAAATTTTATACTTGATACTCAGGGGACCTATAAAGGCCCATGGGCCTCTTGTTTTGTGCATGAAAAAAATATCACAATGTTATAAAATTTTCATCTGTTTTTTTTCAGGTTTTGTGGTGAATGGTATCAATAATGTAAATACTACCTCAATAGAACGTCGATTTGAACTGCCCAGTTCTCGGGTAGGATCCATATCGAGTGCTTACGATGTCTCTGCGGCCATTATTGGCATCATCATCTCATACTTCGGTTCCGGGAAAAACAAACCTCGTATGATTGCTTGTGCTTGTCTCGTGATGTCATTGGGATCTTTCATCATGGCGCTTCCACATTTTACAACAGGGTTGTATGAATGGGGTCAAAATTTGGCAGAATCTTGTCGAGGTAAATGTCCTAATTTTAAAGTTTTCCAAAAATACCATTAGGGGATTGTATTTGTAGTTTTGCAACATAAACTGCAGAAAAAATTATTTTTTTTCATATCCAATGTATATGTATATCATATCATATTTTTTTGGCCGGGGGATGGGGGGTGGGGGTTATATGTGTACATTGATATTACATTGTCCGTCTGCCTGTCGTGTCGAGTCATAACTTGTAATGGAAAAACATTGGAAGCTCATGATACTTGAGGGAAAGATTGCTATATGTCCTTATTGAAAAAAAAATAATTTTGTTGTATTTTGATACTCAGTACTGACTTCTACTTGACTAAACTTGGTTTTTTCGTGTTTCAATACAAATGTATCATCGGCCAGGGCATTCATATCCATGTATCGGAGTACATACATGTAAAGTTTTGTCATTAAACAATTTAAAATGTAAAACTGAACTTTGTAAAAGTGACTATTTTGGGATAGTATTTATAAATGCCACGTAATTTACTTAGTATTCACAAACACAATTAAGAATGTATTACTCCTTATATGTTATCATTTCTCGGATCTAACAAACGTTCATTTTAAATATTATACGCCTTTGCTATTTCAATGCCAATCTTAAGAATAGTCAAACATCTTAAGATTCAAATATCAGTGGTAGAAGGGGATTTCTCTATCGTCAGTTCATTGAGTAACAGGATAAACACTGGCCACGGAGACTGGTAGCGTGATATGGCGAGCTTTTCCTTCAGTTGTTACCAGGATAAGTCGAGATTTCCTTGTTTTTTCCGTGTTAATCGGTGACTGACTTTTACTGTTAGTAGTTTCCTATATTAGTTATAAGTAGACCATTTGATACGTGAAACTATGGAATGTATACATAAAATTTGTCCCCCCCCCCACCACCACCAATCCCCTTCCCTGATTTGTCCATTTAACAGTTGAACGTAAAAGGTTGTGTCCAAGGCAACACGCTTTCACGCTTTTGCAATTAATCATCAAGTTCGTTATAAGAAGAAATGAAAGGAAAGGAAGAAAATATATTTTCCCATTTTTAAATTATACCTTTCGTGTAGGTATATCACACAATATATATACAAACATGACAATGCGTTATTTGGGTACACCTTTATATATGTCAATGAAAGTACAAAATCTATTGGATTATATTTCTTTCCTCATTCTTTATCCTTTGAATAACATACACCTGATATTTAAAAAAATGCACAAGGATATTTTTTGCAATATATAATTAAGATTTTTTATATTAAGCATGAGTCATCTATGCAGCCACAATATTGTTATGAGGTACCCTCGAAACATAAAGAGTACTTTTGTACTCTACATTCGATGTTTAACTTTCGATCTATTTCCATCTACATGTAACAGTACATACAATATGTAAAGTACATGTAATCGAAGTTCGATATGACTATGCATGATGTTCAGACATTTTGCTTAAGGTACATCCTCAAAAGTACATGTAACATATGATTAACTTGCCTGTAACACGATTTCATTAAAATAAGCAATAAGTGAAATTATCGCATGCTCTTTTAAGTTATGCAGAATTCCTTAGATTGTAGAAAAATGCTTCAGAACACACCCATTCAAGGACATATTAGTTAAAACGTGTGCATATCAACAAATCGTTTGTCACATGATATATTCAAGGCTAGTGCATGTCAATAGAAAATCAAATGATTTGACTTTCTTCAAATTTTTGAGTGAAGTTTTATTTTTATTTTCTTTCTTTATGTCTGGGGGTTTAGGGGACATTCTCATCGATGCAAGCCTCAGACGGAAAAAGTCGTATGACACGTCTAAATGCTTCTTTAATGTTATTTCAGTACAATGTCCCCCAAGGATGATGATAAAGTATATAACGTGGCGGGAAAATGGTATACCGATGCTCAAATGAAATGCCAAATTTTTTAAACATCCAAATTTAGTAAATTGTTTTGGGAAAAATACGCAATTATCATGTATGTTTGAATTCTCTCAGGGGTGCAGGAGAGTACCATATATTGTTCAGCTAGGGTTTACTGGTAAAAAAAACGTAAAAGATTATGATGACATTCACGTTCAAAAGCATTTGCCCCAATGACACAGTTTAACCTTGCGATGCAATATCTATATTTAATGTGTATTGCACTCGTGATGTTTATATTAAAAAAAAAATGAAAAGACAGGATATTAACAAGATGACCTATTTCTTGAACCATGATTATAATATGGAGAGCTTAAAACAATACATACTTTATATACTAATTACTTACACAATTTACAAATGAGAATTTAAATAGGGCCTACTTTGTTCAGGTTTGTAGGCTATCAATCGAAACTTTGATAGATTCATTCGATTTTAATTAATTATCCCCCAAAACTTGAAGCTATATAGGTCGACATGCAAAACCAAATTTTATAAATTACCGTATTCTTGGTAATGTAAGTGCAATTTTTATACATGTAATAAAAAATGTATGATTTCAGTATAATTCCAGTCTTTTATTAAAAAGGCAATAATTCATTTGTGTTTTACTCTGCACATGACTCTTTGTATTCCAGACCCTGCTGCCGCTGCGCTCGCCAAAAGTTCCTGCTCCCCGGATAACGAACACCTATTGCAGCGTTATCTTTATGTGTTCCTGCTGGGACAGACCCTCCACGGTATAGGGGGGACCACCCTCTACATTGTGGGCGTGGCTCTAATTGACGACAGCGTACCCTCCGCTGCCTCTCCCCTTTATGTCGGTAGGTAAGCTTCATCTCTGTAAAACCTGCTACTCTTTGTAATGCGTAACTTCCTCAGAATTTCACCGCCTCTGTTAATTTTTTTTCTAAATTGTTTCTGGACATGATTTGCAAATGAGATTAAAAGTAAATATAGAGCCTTAATGGGTTTACTTTTAGAGAAAAAGAATCGTATTAAGAAATCATTTGTTTTTAGGTATAATGTACGCCTTCGCTACCCTGGGCCCCGCGCTTGGTTACGTAGTTGGGGGACGATTATTGGACATATACGTTGATTTCCATGAAGTAGACAGGTAAGTTTTTACTGTTAACTTTTAATTCCTCTTAATTAAGGTAGCATGTATCAAAACTGAGTAAACGTTTGAACATTTTTTTTTCGTTTCCAGTGTATCGATAACTCCCGATGACCCACGATGGGTTGGTGCCTGGTGGATTGGTTTTGCCGTGGCCTCTGTGCTTTTTTTAGTAGTGTCCGTTCCAATATTTGGTTACGGGACAGAGCTACCAAGTATGTTTTGTAACACCTGGTTTAAGCTTCGGTCTTATGAATACCTGTTAAACTTCATTCATGATATGTTTCAAATCCATATACTTACGTGTTTACTTACTTTATTCCCAGCTGCACAGAACGTGCGAGAAACCCGTGTGACAGAAACACACATGGACAATTCAACAGAGAAAAACGGAAAAGAGCTTGGGAAATCCTTAAGGGATATGCCAAAATCCTTTTGGATCCTTATGAAAAATCCCGCCTTCCTGTTCATTTCATTGGCTGGAACCTTTGAGGGATTTTCTACCTCGGGAATGGCAACATTTCTACCGAAATTTATTCAGAATCAGTTTGGTGTTTCTGCTGCCTCTGCGGCCATATTAGCAGGTATATATATGTATAAAAACGATTACTGAACATCACAAGTATAGTATACATGTATCATATACGAAGCACGATTTTCAAATTTTGTGGAAAATTAACTCGAACTTTAATTTTAAAATGATAGGAGTGGTGGCAGTTCCTGGGGCCGCAGGGGGACAGTTTGTAGGAGGGATTATTTGTAAGAAGTGGAAGTTGAAGGTTCAGGGCATGTTGCGGCTTAACGTCATCGTCTGCATCATGGCACTACTTTTGGATGGTGTTGTTTGGGTCAGATGTGATCTTGAAGACATTGCAGGTGTCAATGTTGGATATTTTCAAAGGTAATTACACAGTTTATTAAAATAAATTATTGCCAAAGATATTTTGTTTTTAAACAATTTCTTAATACCGGGTACCTTCAATGTTCAAAATGATCTGTTTTTGTTGTCTGGATATTAGAATGACATCTGAAATTCTATTGCAGAGAAAACCAGAATAGTTTAATATCGACATGCAACAATAATTGTTCTTGTACCACTGAGTTGTATGAGCCAGTATGTGGTGAAAATAACATTCAGTATTTTTCACCGTGCCATGCAGGTTGTTCAGGAAAAGCTAGCGCAGACGGTGTAAGTATAGAAATAAAAAAAAATCTCTATATTCTTTTTTGCTACATTAACACCCACATAATCTGTATAAGTACATAAAAAGAAAAACTAATGAGATCATCTCACCGAAAGTTTGGATTGTTGGGTGTTACCTATAATGAGATGTCATGGCCATTTGATCACAGAAATGCTTTAGGCACTAACTTACAAATGAACCCCGTTTTTCCAATGGAAACACAAACTGTAAGGCCATTCTCTGACCAATATGCCTGACAAATTAAGAGCACGTGGCGGATGTGATCACTGACAAAGTGACAAGTCGACAGAGGTCAGAGGATGCTTCCTTTTCTATGGCACCTGATCCCGCATATACTAGTAATGTTTTATAGAAATCAACGGCCGTTCTGCTTACACTTTGTATTGTTTCAGCTGCAGAACTGTTGAAAATGGTTTTATATAAAACTGGTCAAAGACTAATATAAAAAAACATAACTCTACGGTTCTGCAGCTAGATGTACTATGTTTTGAATATAATTACTTCGTTAGTTTTATATGTATTTCAAGTTCTAATGCGAAATGTACAACATATGCCAGGCTTGGTTTACTACATGTATAGTGTGACGTAAACCGAATGTCTAAACTTTTGACAATAACGGAATATGTAGCACCAGTTGGTGAGAATAAAATTGTGTTGAAACTGATTTAATTTTTCTTTTTTCAGACTTACTCACACTGTGCATGTGTAGCTGCTGCAAGTCAGTACAATTTGTCCAATCAGTCAAGTTTAGCTTCAGTCAAAAAGGGCAAATGTAATTCCGATTGCTTCAAAATGTACATATTTCTTCCCATTCTACTGCTATCCATCTTTTTCCGATTCGTTGAATCGCCTCCATCAGTCGCCGTCACTTTAAGGTAAACATAAGCTTTTTTTACCTACATGTATATCCATTAATTAACAAGATCTATCTTTAATTACTTTGCAATAAAACACAGCCTTGTTTCTGTCTTTCTTTAAGAAAACTAAAACGATTGTTTAATTTGGTACATGTAACTTCTTACATTTAAAAAGTTATTAAATATAAATTAAGTAACAGATAAATTTTTTTTTATTTTGCATAGAATACATCAATTTAAGACTTTAAAGGTTTGTACAGTAACATGCATTTTTGATTTCAGGTGTATTCATGATAGTCAACGTACCTTCGCGTTGGGTATACAGTGGGCTATTGCTAGGTTGTTAGGTAAGATTTCAAGAATGTGAACTTTTAGTTTTAAAAAACACAAAATTTAAACAAACATTTTTAGTTTTATCCAAAGTTTTGATTTTGCTTACTAATAACAGTATCTTTTTTCTGCAGGGACCGTTCCTGGACCTATATTATTTGGTGTTGTAATTGACAGTACTTGTTTAGTGTGGAAGGAAAAATGCAATGAACAAGCTTCCTGTTGGATTTACGACAATCTAGCTTTAAGTCAAAACTTCTTCATTATTTTGATATGTGTAAAGGTTTTGGCAGCTGTGATGTTTGTGTTGGCCTACAAATTTTATAATCCCCCTTCAGACAAAATTCAAACCCTCAATGTGACTGTAAATCGCCCGACCGAGAACGGAGTCGTTTCCCACAAACAAGAAAGTGGAAGTACTTCCGACTCTTCGGTAGGTTCTGTGCGAACTTCTACGATATGAAAGGTTGTGTGTGTTTTTGTTAATTTATTGCGGATGTTACTTGTTAATTGCAGATTAAGTTATTTACACGAACATTCCTCGTATGCGCCAGTTCGACTTTTTGGCTTGAGATGTGGAGTAAATATTATTATACTGCTAATACAAAGGTGCAGTGTTACATATTCTTGATTGAAGTGTATTTATATTTTATTTTTACCATGAGTGTTAGTGAATGCAATATTTGTTCTGTGTGTGCTGGTTCATGCAAAAATGTGTTCACCGGACTATTTTTTACATGAGGAGTACTTGTATACCATATGATTGACAGTCCGTCATATTTTTATTATTATGATGGATTACCGATTTGTCTCGTCGTTGCATTGAATTTTTTTCTGTGATATATATATATATTCAAGAAATTCTTTACCAATTTTATAAGAATTATTCTTACCATCAGTTCTTGACTTTAAATTTCTGAAGTTCATATTAATTTTCCTAGATTAATAATCACAGTGACAATTGTTGAAAGGTTATGTTGAAATTGAATACTCACTCGTAAATACAAGTTGTCTCCAAAGAAATTAATGGTGATCGTCTTAGATTAGCAAGCCTTGCCCTCCTTTTTTGGGGAAATGTATAATTCATTTAATAGTTGTTCTCATTTTTAGAGAACGATTTACGAACAAAATTAATAACGAAATTGTTAATTGATTTTTTATGCTTCATAAATCGCAAAAAGTTGTACTCATAAAAAAAAAATAGAACGCTTGCAACCCCATCCCACCCAACTCATTTTGGATGGAAATGACCAGAAAATACTCAACAAAAGTTGGAATATTTTCGAATGTGTCTATTAACATTATTGTATGTTATTGAAGAAAAGTCTATTTTTGATAATAAAATATCTTTGAAAATTGAATGTTGTGTTTATCCAAATAAATAATGACGGTGCTTTCAAACAAATGGTTGAATTGGTTGCCTTCTGGCTAAAAGATGACCCAACTCAAAACTTTTTAACCTCAACATGCTCAAGAAAGGAATCATTTTCGATGCATTCAGGAAAACAGATTTTGAAATCAGCATTGATGTTGAACATATCTAGTGGGAAATATTCCACCTACCTGCCGACCCATTTTTTCATCCTTAGTCGGGAGAGGGCAATCAAAGTACATTTTAAAGTTGGTCTGAGTTTGGTTATAAAAGTGTCCAAAGAACGTTTGGGATGGAGCTGAATTGAATTCGCTCACATTGAAATAGGTGAGTTAGAGATACTGTCTTTCCTGATATACTTTATTTTATCAAATAAAATATACATGACTATCTTAGATAGTCATGTTGTATATTTTATTGGATAAAATAAAGTATATCAGGAAACACGATACGTAACAGTTTTCATTTCTATTTGTACACCTGGCTAACTATAGAAATAAGAAGATAGACAAAATCTAGCAAGATAAAAATTATTATGCTGGCAATATCTAGCTACAAACCACGAATCAAACAGACAAACTAAAAAAAAAACATTTACATTTGTGAGGCGAAAAATTGTCCACTTCTCTAAACAGCTGAAGAGAATAACATACTAGGATATTAGGGTTCAAAATGCATGTAGCTAATTCTGCCGTGTCCGTATTTTTTTCTTGCAACTGAATATACATTATCATCGTTTTTTGGCTTTTTTTTTTGCGAGTTTTACATGCATTATTGTGCAAATGTAGATCTCTACATTCCATTGTTATTGCCTTCGCTAAGAGAGATAACTCTGTATGATTAATGTCAACATTACGATTTGATACATGTAAAAATTGGATCGTCATCTTTACAAAACAAAACAAAATTTTCTTATTGTAGAGTGGGTCGTTTTATATTAAATAAGTACATGTATCTCCATGTGCTCGAAAGAGGAGGTTCCATGCAAATGCTTAAAAATTATTTCTTCAGATGAAATTTAATGACAGAAAATTCGAATTAGTTGTTTTTATTGTGTTTTGAATACATTTGTCTTCCAGTTAAAGGTACTTGGACACAGATTTGAAGTTATTATTTTCTCTATAATAATATTACGACTTCTATATTTTAATAGCATTTCACACAAAAATTAATTAAAAATCTTATTTCGTTTAAAAGATATTGAAATTTCAAATTTTTCGGCGGGTTTGATTGACATATCCTTGCACTCTCACGAATTTAATTTTATTCTTAATCCTTAAGAAAAGTGGCAATCTCGTTTTGTATAAATGAAAAATATTAATACAGTAATCCAGAAAATTCAGAGTAGACACGTTCGAAAGCAAAACAAACACACAATATATTGTCAGTCCGTGCAGTTGTGGTAAGCAGACTGTGACGATTGAACGCACCCGGTGAATTCTAAATATAAACAATAACAGAACTCGAGCCCTGTTTACAAAAACTGTGTACATAACACGAGTGTGCTCGATTTGCTAAACTCTGTACACATCTCCTAGTTCGGAATGACGATACTTGTGAAGATGTTTTGCTTTCTAACATTTCTACTCTGAATAACATTATTTTTCTTGATAAAAGTTTTCATATTTCTCATTAAAACACATCAAAATTGCCACTTTTCCTAAGGATTAGGAATAAAGTTAAAATTTGTGAAAGTGCAAGGATGTGTCAATCAAACCCGCCAAAAAATTTAAAGTTTTAATAACTTTTAAACGAAATAAGATTTTTAATTAATTTTTGTGTGAAATGCTATTAAAATATATAATTCCTGATATTATACAGAAAAAATGAGAAAATATTAACTTCAAATCTGTGTCCAAGTACCTTTAATGAGCCATACACAATTAGGTTTTACCTATCCACATACTTTTAAAAGATTATTAAATTACGAATGCTATCTTTTTACGTCAAATTAAGATAAAGGCTCATCTACAAACATAATGATACACTTTGTTCTTGCAGATAGGGATTACTAATATTAAAATATGGTGACGCCCATCAGTTTTATAAAGTGTATCATCCCAGTCTCCATCTATATATAATGGAAAAGCAGCTAAACTTGATAGAGAAATAAAATGCAAGTTTTTCAAGTACTAGTCCCTATAGACTTTATTCTGTAAATTGTAAAAGGACTAATATATACTTATAACCCTCTCATAAGACATGTGACTTTGGTACATTCTAAAATAATAAATAGGCCTTTTATATAAAAAAAAAAAATAACAGTTATACCAATACAAAGCTTGAAAAGCGATACAATATTTTAAGAGATGTCATCAACTCAGGTTGTCATGTTGTACCAAATGGATTCAAAGGATTATCATCACCACAGGAAGATTATGAATGGAGGTTTTCATTCTCCATAGCTGAACAGAAACTTTTATATGGTATGAATCACAAACAGTCCATGGCTTGCTATGGTTTGTTGATTTTTTTAAAGAAGTTCTGAAAGTGGAAGGTACAAGTAGAGAGCCTCTCCTTTGTCCATATTTTATGAAAATTTCATTCTGGGTTATTTGAAATAATACCGCTTATTACTGGAATCGATATATAATTAGTGCACAGGCCCTTGTTTCATTCAATAAGCTAGTTTTTTAATACTATATAATACTGTTACAGGCGCTTGTTTCATTCAATAGGCTAGTTTTTATACTATTATAATATAGTATTAAAAAAACAAAATGTGTTTGTGAAACCGGCAAGATGTGTTTGTGTTGCGCCCGGCAACAAAGTTATTTTTAGCATATAGGTCACAGTCAAGGTCACAAGGTCATTGACCTTAGTGTCATTTCAAAGATTGTATGGTTCAAAAGTTATGTCGAAAAGTTGGAAAACCTATTTTAACCATATACAGTAGGTCACAGTCAAGGTCACAAGGTCATTGACCTTTGTTTTATTTAAAAGAGCATAGTTTGTGGAGTATGCATACCAAATATGAAGTCTATATCTCTCACCGTTCAAAAGTTATGGCAAAGGATAAAGTTGAAAACAGACAGACAAACAGATAAGCAGACAGACAGTACAAAAACAATATATTAAAGCCCCGGCACATAAAAAAAAACTAGCCTATTGTATGAAACAATCGCCTGTGAATCTGTGTCGGGATTTTTGTCACCGGTATTTTTCCGATTTTATTACCGGTATATAATGTGTATCATGCTTATCTTTCACGCAAGGCATTTGTTATTTTCAATATTTATTTTGTACCGTCATGATGGAAAGGGGGGGGGTCACTCTTGTACCTGTAATACAGGTATTTAAAAAAATGGAGAAAAGCGAAGAGGATACGAGGAAGGTACAGTTATTTATAGATATGAGATTCATGGGATAAGAAGGTATTTCCAGAGTAGGGAAATTTAGAAAAGAAGGCTTCAGGGATACAAAAGAGTAAACCACTGTGTTATGAAGAATACGAAAATCTTATATCAACTTCAGGCCTTTCGGAAGCAATTGCGGCGGGAGGGGGTGGGGGTATAAAATATTTTCAATTTTGTACGTGGCACTTCTAAAAATTACTTGAAAAAGAAGAAAAAAGAAACTAAACAGGTACATGTAGTTAGTCCATATTTTCTATTATTGTGAGGCACAAGTACGTAGCAAAATTTTCAGTGGTATATATTCTATATTATAATCGGCTAAATTATAGGGGTGCGTATAAAAATTGAATATTATCCTGATCCCGGTAAATATTACAAATTGAAAAAAAGAAAATCAAAAGTTTTTCTTGTATTTTAATACATTTTCTTCTTGAAATATAATCTTCTTATAATTTTTTTTTCTATATTATGTGTCATATTTCTTGAAGATTTCTCATTTTGAACATTCATAGATTTTTTTAAAATTTCTTTTTTTAATTCGATCTAATTATATTTTCTTTTCATTAAAAAGAAGAGATATTGTATGACTTTTTTATTCTATGTATTAATGCTGCATGCTTTTTTCTTTGAAAATATGTAAAACAATTCTAAACTTATTTCAGCCGTAAAATCATAATTTTTGTAATAGAAAGAGATAAGATAAATATTGCATTGTGGCACTTAAAATTTTAGAGTTATCTTTCCATTCGCTGACGTAGGTTTGGCGAGATCACGTGTTCTTCCTCTATCGCTGAACACGTTTCCGGTAAGGCATGTGGAAAACGTGCTCCATGATTAATTGTTCATTTTCATAATTTCTTTTCTTTTACTTAAAGAGCTATACAGATAAAATAATTATCACAATGTTGTTTATCAAATAAAAAGTTCTATTCATTCAGAATACCTTACATAAGGGTAACCATGAACAGTTAACGGGGGGGGGGGGGGGGGGTATCACTGTATCATGGAAACGGAACAGCACTGATAATGGGGTATATTCATAACAAATGTAATTGATTGTCACATTAATTTGTAATGTCTTGCACTTACTTTTAACGAAGTCAAAATAGTACCCGCTGCACAGACAGCGCAGTATCTGTACACGGG